ATGACCTAGAACAACACATGAACGAAACTCGATCACACGAACGAAAAGCGGGGTCGTGTCGCGTGAATCAGCTGAGTCGTGTGCGTCGGGTGGCCAGGTCGTGTCGCCTCGTCGGGTAGTCGCGAGCTCGCTGGCGGGTCAAGATCGAGTCACCGGTCGGCGGCGGTTGCTCCGGCTGGTCGGAGATCGACGGTCCTCGGGCTCCATGTCGTGGATCATTGACTTCTGTAGATGATCACTGGGTGTCGATTACCTATGGATCTTCTATTGTATTACTCACACAGCTCTTCAACTCGTACCGGTGGAGCAACGAGAAGAAGACAAAGCTCGAATGAGATCTAGAGAGAGAGAGAGAAGGGGGCGGCCGATCTCATACGTGAACTGTGATGTTCTGTTTTCTTCTCATGAGTTTAATGATTTATATATAGAGCTACACTAGGGATCCTTAGGAGATTAGAAATAGGGCTTCTTAATTAATGGACCAACTGTGGGCCAAACCCTCTCTTTCATTTAATTATATAATATTACGGTCCACTAATGTAATATTATTGCACTCCCTTTTCCTAGCCCAAATTACATTTGAGACTCCAATTATAATTACCCGAATTATCTCCCCATGTTTAAGATATAATGTCCATTAATTAATTAGATTACTGACATTCAAGATTTAATTAATATATTATTTATTTCACCGAAGCTAGCGCTCGTTCATCACATTATTATTATGCCGGAACTTAATCCACCTGCAGGGTTTCGCATAACAATCCTTCATGAACTCACATCGGGGACATCATCAAACTAACGCACATGGTGACCGTAAATATCCTAACAACACATGATACATACAGTAATTTTACCCAAGACAGTAGGAATATTAATTCAACGAATTGAATCTCACCCAAGTGAATCAAAGTAATAAGTACTGCATATATATGCCTGTTTAATATCTTACAGGTTAAGAGAATGCAAGAATTAACCGAGGCCTAGTTTGTTTACGATGATCAGTATAAAACGAACTTCTTCTCTCTGAGATCCTATTCAATAGATAAATGTACTAGTGCAACTAATCAGTCAAGGCCAACTGTAGTGTTGACACTACAACCGTTTGGATGGGGTGTTCATTTCCATCTAGGTTGTGAACCATAATTCTTGTTTCGCAAGTAACTTATAGAATGATCTTCTGTTCGCCCGATGACGACCCACTCTATCTAAGTGCAAAATAACAGAACATAGAACTTGTTTAATCTAATATCTCATTCATAAAAGGGTAAAAGTGTAATATCATCCAAAGCAAAGCTTTCAATATATAAGACTAACAATCTCCCATTTATACGTAAAGCTTTCGCTTTTACAAGTATAGTTTTATCAATCTGTTATTCTAAAAGACCTATGTCGATCCTATCGCCAGACACCTGACTCTCATTCCTTCCACGTGTTTGATGACGACCTTCCCCAACAAACTCTTCGTGAAAGAATCAGCTAGGTTGTCTGTTATAGTTTATTTTATCGGAGTAGAATCAAAAGATTCGAACACCGAGTCTTGTTCTCAAGGAAGGTTGGCCGGACTATTTTGTACGTTTATTCGATCACATAAAAAAAACGAAAACAATCCTACACACTCTAATTCAAGTTGTTGGTTTTGATTTTTACTAATGATTTTTAACTATAACAATTTAATATCACAACTTATAAAAATGATTCAAAGAGATATAAACTGGCAAAAATGATGAAGGTAATTCCAAGGGATGTAAATGACTAGAGTATCGGGGACAATCGTCTTCGGTTTTATATAAATTTGACGGCAATCAATTACTCGGTTAAAAGGCTTGATTAACTAACTCATTTAACGGTTTTACCTTACTAACTCTTGTAATATACAGAAAAACATCAATGAGTAAATTAACGAGACAATTAACACATTGACAATACGTTTCCGAACATGTCAACTCTAAACGAGCCAAGTTCTACCAATTTCGCCCCTCTCGATTTTGAAATCAATTATTTAGATTAAAATGGTGATCAAGCATTCAATCGTGAAATAAGTAAAACTCGTAAAGATTGAGTAATTAACATACACATAAGTAAGAACAAACCGAAATGATTATCCCCTAACCCTAGTTAGAAGATTAGTTGTTCATAATAAGTTTAACATAATCATACACATTAGAACAAGCCATCTTTAACATAGATAAAATGAAATAGATAACTTACTTGTAATGAGAATTCCACAAGAGCAAATGCAAACTTAATCCAAGTACAACAATGTCTTCAATACAAACCAAAATACAAACTTAAGAAAAACTTAGGAAAAATGAAGGAAAATCTTGAAGAAGAATTATGAATCAAAGTGTTGGATGGTTAAACATTGTAATGGAGAGTGTATTTATAGTGTTCAACCCCTAAATTTCAGATGTGAGTGCCCAAAAACATGCCTAAAAATCGCCACTATCATCCACCAAGGAGAAAAAGAGGGGAAAAAGCCACAAAACCAGCAAAATCCAGGTCTCGCGGCCCGCGGAGGAACTCGCGTCCCGCAACGAGATGATCTCGCGGCCGCGACATGCTCCGCGGCCCGCGACGAAGGTAACTTCACGGCCGCGACTTCAGCGAGCAAAAAATTCTGTATTTTGGTTCGCTCCCCGCGACCCACCTCTCGCGGACCGCGACTTGTCTCGCGGCCAGTGAAATTGTAAATTTCCCAATTCCTTATTCGGGCTCGTATGCACTCATCCGGACTCGGAATTGACTTCCGTTTTTTGCTACGTGTGGCCTACGAACTCTTGTATTCATTTATGCCTTCAAACCAATTTTTCCTTGGAAAGAGTACTCGCCCGACTTCCAACCTACCATAAAAAACGACACAACACGAAACATAAAACGGGAAAAAAATACACGAAAAGCTCACAAAGACTCAAATGAGAAGAAAACACATACTCAAACAATAAATGAACTAAAAATGAAAGAACTACCTAAAATGAGAAAAAAAGAAAGATAAAATAAGCACGAAAAACATTACAAAAATGGGACAAACAACCCCCCCACACTAAAACCTTTGTTCGTCCCGAACTAAAAGAAAAGAAGAGAAAACACATAAATGAGTAAAGACAATGATTTCAAGCGAAACTAATCTCAAACTAATCAATCAATTGAAGAAGAATTCAAATAATCACAAGAACACACCTTGACTAATTACTTGGTTATTTTGAAAAACATAGACTCTCAAGTGCACAATTATCTCATGTATGCCTCACTCAATTTCTTTTCACAAATATCAATGGGATACTCTCAAATTGGTCATCAACCGAGTCAATCATAAATTTGGCTATCGTCTAACTTTTACTTTAATACAATCAAATTCATGCGATTAATGAATCAAGAGGACTTTTTAGGAATGTAACGTAGGCTCTTTGGATCGGGTAGGATAAATATAGGCTAAGTGGCTAAATAACAATCGAATTTGCTTCATTCATTCACCTAACCATGAGCATAAACTTTTCCGGTTGTTAAATATCAACCGTTTCCTCCCATATCTTCAAAACAAATACGATATCCTCATTATTCAATTTTTTTTTTTTTTTTTTTTTTTAATAAATGACAACCTTAGGATATTCATTTTCCTTTGGTTCCATTTCGATTTTTTATTTTATTTATATATATATATATAATATTAATATATACAACATCGATACTAATCATTTCCCAATCTCTACAATACCATTCGCAACTCAAAATATCATCATCACGGGGTATTTTAAGAAAGAATCAACACGGCTCAAAGGGGCTGACTAGCGGATTTATTTTCACAAAATAAGGGTAACACAAAGAATGCCTCAATCATATTCATATCGCACAAATTCGGCTAATTCATTTCAAAGTAGACTCAAGGAAAATCCTGATTGACAACAATTTCGACCAATATCACACAAGAAAAGAAACGAACATGGCTCAAACCTCACAAGGTAACATATTTGTCAAACAAAACAACCAAGTATTTCATCGAGATATATCGCTTGTTCATATTATCGCAACTTCTTAACTCAATCAACCGTTATTGACTACTCCCACCATTTACCACAGTCTAAACTCAAGAAGACACAACACATAATCCTAGAAAGAAAATAAACAAAAACAATTCAAAAAATTAAACCTGATTAACCACATAGCCACGTAAATGCGCAAAAAACCCCCCCCACACTTAGAATTAGACAATGTCCCCATTGTCTAGTCGCAGTGCAGAAAAGTTAAACCACATAATCAATAAACACGAAAATAAAACACACTATACAAAAAGAAAGAGAAGGGAAAGAAGAACGTACAAAGCACAGTGAAAAATCATTGTGCATCCGATGGCGGTGGTTGTGGAGGATAGGGGTTGCTCGATCCCGAACCCCAATAGGTATCCCACTGGGTGAATCGCTGGTCCCAATGGTCCATACGAGCGTCCTGCTAATCCTGGCGCTCGCGAATGGACTGGAGACCGTCATTGAAGCCGTCAAAACGGGAACCCATGTCAGTCCACTGGGTCTGCTGCTGGCTCTCCCAGTTATTCCACTTGTTCGTCTGTTGCGTCTCCCAATGAGTCCACTGGGTTGTCTGCTGTGTCTCCCAGTTAGCCCACTGAGTGTTCTGTTGGCTCTCGAGATTAGCCCACCTATTGCCCTGGGAATCAAAACGGGTATGAATGGCTCGGAGGCATATTGGGTTTGGAATGAGGTCCATTGGTTTTGGTAAGTCGCCCACCATTCCGGTGGTTGTTGTGGTGGTTGTTGTTGTGGTTGTTGTTGTTGGCCCTCAGTTTGGTAGTGCTCTGTTGGTTCCTGGTCGGGTGGTGGTAGGAAAAAATGGTCTTCATCCATATTCATTGGGTCGTGCTTGTCATCGTCAACCGGTTGCCGGGATGTCCCGGGCTGATCAGTGGTAGGTGCCTCACCTTCTTTGAGCTTCTTGAAATAAGTGTCGTAGGCCTTGCGCTTCGTGTACTCCCGTGGGGTGGTTCGATTCTAAATGAGGTCGACGTTCCGGAGCTCATGTTCATTAATACACCGCAGTGGCTCGCCTTCCAATGACCATGTCACGTTGATAAAGACATGTTGATCAGGGATTCTGAAATGTTTGGCCAATGTCGTCACAACATGCCCGAGAGCCGGAATGCCACGTTTACCGAGTGCCACTTCTTGCAAGGTGTTTTGCAAAAAGGTTATAGAGCACACCTTTACTCCCGTACGCATCGCCCATAAAAGGTAGAGCTCATTTTCACTCACCTTGTTTGCCTCCTTTTTCCCGGTGATGTTATAGGCGATGAACCTGTGCACAACAGCTATGGCTAAGTCTTTAATGAGCCCGTTCGGAAGGCCACGGGAGTCCTACGTAGTATGTGGAGAAAGTTCTGTCTAACTATTCTTGGCGTTGAAGTCCGCCGGTTTGCTTCGTTTGCCGACTAGGTTGAACCCGAAGACTTTCTTCATCACGTCGTTATCCACCTTCACATCTTTCCCCTGCATCCGGCAAGTGAAATACTCGTTCCCATCGCGAGCACAAATGAGCTAAAGAACTCGAGCATAAGACTTCGATATGAGGGTTCTACGACTTGGGCATAGTTGAGGAGATTAAGCACCCCCAGGTACTTCTTGACGTCGGCAATGATTCCCAAACTCCTCAACACGTCCCAGTCAATGGCCTTGGGCCTCACTAATTCCTTCTGTGATAGTCGGGAAAATATTTCGCTCTTCTTTCTCGAGTAAATTGGGAAGGAAGCGCCGTATTGTTGCCGAAGGTCCACCCGGTCACTTCCTTGAGGGGCATCGCGGTTCCCTTGGTCCGAGGATTGGGCCAATTTTTGTTTTCCGGAATTGAAGGGTCCGGCTTGATCGAGATACGTTTGACGTCCCGACTTCTTACCCATGTAGACGTCTTTTGGGTAATTTAGCAAACAATTTCTAAGCGGGATTTTGTAGGATACAGCTTGGAAATAAACAACAATGGTGAAGCCCAAAATTTCTCAACTTCAATCGCAGCAATATATCATTCCATAACTACACCATTCAATTTCGTCAAAGTGATAACTAGAAGGGCGGTTACCGGAATTCGACCCGCGTTTGTTCACCGAAAATGTGAAAGGGTGGATCGGAGGTTTAGTGTTTCCAGGTGTCGGGTTGTGAGGTCGCCGTTGTTGATGCTCGTGTTCGAAGGTGATGGACGCCGGAGGAGGTGACAGTCGGAGGCCACGTCGTTGGTCAGAGAACAGTGCTAGGGTTCTTGGGTTCGAGCCCCAATTTACTTGTACGAGCGATTGCAGGAGTGGATGAAGATTGGCGAAAGTGATGATGTAATTGATGCAGTTGCTGTCAGAGGGAATGACCGCCGGTGAGGGTCGCTGACGGAGACGGCGCCGGAGGGAGTCACGGTTGTAGTGGCGAGGTAGTTTTCGAATTTTTTGCCCCAATTTTTGCAGGAACTCTTGTGTAAAATCGGTGATGATCGAATTTCCGAAATATTGCAAGGATTTGAGAAGAGATTTTCGGTTATTGGTGTGTATTTTGAGCAAGCAAATCGCCGGAGGTATTGAGAGAAAATGGGGCTCGAAAAAATGACTGTGATCGTTCCTTAGTGCTGTTTAAAACGCGAGGGTCGCAGCCCGCGGAGGCTCTCGCGGCATGCGGCGAAGAGATGTTCCGCGGCCGCGACATGCCCCGTGGCTGCGACTTCAAAGGACAGAAAAAACTGAGGAATCTCGCGGCCTGCCTCGCGACACGCGGAGAGTCTCGCGGCCCGCGATGAACGATTTTTTTTTCTTTTATAGATATATATAGATATATAATATGTACAAGGGTGCTCGATTTATTGCCGTGAGCTCGGCACTCTCGCGATCAAGTATATTGTTGTTCGTCGAGATTCACGGTGTCGACGTGCTTGCTTCGATTTCTCCTCCAAAGTAAGGCTTGACTCTTTGTCCGTTCACAACAAATAATTCGCCGGTAGATAGAATTCGAAGTCGGACAGCCCCGAAAGAAAGAACTTCGTCAATAACAAATGGGCCGTCCACCGGGACATAAGTTTTCCCGGGAATAAACGAAGTCGGGAATTGAAGAGGAGCACTTGCATGCCTGGTACCAACTCCTTCCGGATAATCCGAGCATCGTGGAGTCGTTTGATCTTGTCCTTGTAAATCTTCGAATTCTCATACGCCTCGTTCTTCAATTCTTCGAGTTCCGAGAGCTGCAAAATTTGCTCTCTTCCGGCGGTATCAAGATCAAAGTTCATCTTCTTTATTGCCCAAAACGCCTTGTGCTCGATCTCAACTGGGAGATGGCACGCTTTTCTGTAGATGAGTCGGAACGGGATCATCCCCAAAACTTCTTTGTATGCTGTCCGTTAGGCCCATAACGCATCGTCAAGTCGACTCGACCAATCCTTCTGGGACGAGTTCACTTTTTCTCCAAAATAGTCTTGATTTGTCGGTTGCTCGTCTCGGCCTGGCCCGACGTCTGTGGATGGTATGGGGTAGCCACCTTGTGTGAAATACCATACTGCTTCATCAGCTTCTCGAAAATACGGTTGCAAAAATGCCTCCCACCATCACTCACAATAGCCCGAGGAAATCCGAACCTGCTTAGAATATGCCCTCGCAAAAACTTGATGACCACATTAGCATCACATGTCCTTGTGGGGATCGCCTCAACCCATTTGGACACGTAATAAGTAATATATATTCAAAACCACAAGAATTGGAAAATGGTCCCATAAAATCAATGCCCCAAACATCAAAAATTTCAATATGAAGGCTGTTCACAAGGGGCATCTCATTTTTGGAACCAATGTTCCCAATTCGTCGACATCGGTCACAAGATTTGCAAAAAACGTGAGCGTCTTTAAACAAGGTCGGCCAGAATAGACCTGGAGAACCTTGAAAGCAGTCTTTTGACCACTAAAATGTCCCCCACACTGAAGCTCATGGCAGAAGGTCAGGACTCCCAGTTACTCGTCATCGGGCACACATCTCCTAAGTAATTCATCTTTTCCGATCTTAAACAGAAAGGGCTCGTCCCAGAAGTAGCTCCTGCAATTTAGAACAAAACGTTTCCTCTCTTGGGAAGAGAGGTTAGGCTGCACAATACCACAAGACAAATAATTCACAATATCCGCATACCAAGGGTTAGAAGTCACTTCATTCGCATGCTCGTATGGAAAATTATCATTAATAACATGATGCTCAAGCAAGGAATGAGAATGATCACCCGGTATAATGCGGGACAAGTGATCAGCTACAACATTTTCGGACCCTTTTGTATCCCGAATATCAACATCAAACTCTTGCAACAATAAAATCCACCGAATAAGCCTCGACTTTGATTGAGTTTTATTCAAAATATACTTTAAGGCTGCATGGTCTGAATGTATTATTACTTTCGACCCTAAAATATAGGATCTAAATTTTTCAAGAGAGAAAACCACAGCTAGAAGTTCTTTTTTGGTGGTCGTATAATTTAGTTGGGCTCCATTAAGGGTCATACTAGTATAATAAATCACTCGAAGTAATTTATCGACTCGTTGACCGAAAACGGCTCCCACGGCAAGATTTGATGCATCACACATGATCTCAAAAGGCAAAGACCAGTCAGAAGCAATCACAACAGGAGCATTCACAAGCTTATTTTTCAAGTCATTGAAAGCACTCAAACAAGCATTATCAAAATTGAAAGGCACATCTTGACTAAGCAAGTGACACAACGGCTGGCTGATTTTTAAAAAATCTTTTATAAATCTCCTATGGAAACCAACATGCCCCAAAAAACTCCTAACGCCTTTCACATTCACCGGAGGGGGAAGTTTTTCAATAACATCAACTTTTGCTTTATTAACTTCAATCCCCTACTAGACACCAAATGCCCTAGCACGACTCCGCTTTTTACCATGAAATGACTTTTGTCCCAACTCAACATCAAATTAGACTCGATACAACGTTCAAGCACACAAGATAAATTATGGAGACGATGAGAAAATGAATCACCGAAAATAGAGAAATCATCCATAAATACCTGTAAACAATCTTCGAGCATATCGGAAAAGATGGAGAACATGCGCCTTTGGAAGGTTCCGGGTGCGTTGCAAAGTCCGAACGACATGCGTCTAAAGGCAAAGGTGCCAAATGGGCACGTGAAGGTGGTCTTCGGTTGGTCCTCGGGTGCTATGGCCACTTGGTAGTAGCCGGAAAGTCCGTCGAGGAAGCAATATAATTGGTGACCGGAGAGGCGGTCGAGGATTTGATCAATGAACGACAACGGGAAATGGTCCTTCTTTGTCACGGCATGGAGTAGCCAGTAGTCGATACACATCCTCCACCCGGTAGTGATGCGGGTGGGGATCATTTCCTTCTTCTCGTTCTCGATAACGGTTATGTCCCCTTTCTTCGGTACCACATGAATGGGGCTAACCCACTCACTATCGGCAACCGGAAAAATAAGCCCTTCCGAGTAGAGCTTGAGGACCTCCGTCTTCACAACCTCCATCATGTTCGGGTTAAGCTGCCGTTGGCTATCCCGAAAGGGTTTGGCACCCTCTTCTAAGATGATTCGGTGCATACATGTGGAGGGACTTATGCCTTTGAGGTCTCCGAGGCTCCACCCAATGGCTTTATGGTTCTTCCGAAGCACTTCGAGTAACTTGCTCTCTTCCTCCCGGTGAGCTCGACGGAAATGATTACCGACTTTTGCTCCTTGTCATCGAGGAACACGTACTTGAGGTGACGGGGTAGTTCTTTGAGCTCAAATGTGGGAATGGTTCGTGTGGAGGGTTGGGCGGTTTCACATAGGTCAATGGTCGGCTCGTCGTCACCATCGAGGTCGGGTAAATTCTTTTCTTCAAACTCCCGTATGGCCACTAGTTCAATGAAAGGGTCGGTCACATCAACAAATGTGCACTCTTCAACAAAATTCACCGAAGATAAGGATGTGGCTTCCCGGACGGAGATAGACGCGGACTCGCCCAAGACTGTCATCTTGAGGGTCCCGTTCTTTACGTCGATGAGGGTGTTGGTGGTAGCCATGAATGGTCGTCCGAGAAGGATGGTGTGATCCTTCCCATTCTCGTGTACGTCTCCCACATCTAGAATGACAAAGTCTATGGGAACAATGAGCTCCCCCACACGTACAAGCACGTCTTCCACCACCCCCTTGGGATATCGAATAGACCGGTCGGCAAGTTGGACGCACATACGAGTTGGTCTCAAGTCCCCGAGACCGAGCCTTTGAAAAATTGAGAATGGCATAAGGTTGATTCCGGCTCCGAGGTCAAGCATCCTCGAAGCTTCTTTTCCATCCCCTAGGGCTATTTTGATCACGAAGCCCCCAGGATCACGTTCCTTCTTCGGTAGATCATGGTGCATCGCACTCGCCGCCTCGTACACCACGACCTTCTCTCCGTCTTCGAACTTTCACTTTTTCGTCACCAAGTCCTTGAAAAACTTCACGTAAGAAGATATATTCTTGATAACATCAAGAAGCGG